GCAACATAACACCTGGGATGGAAAATTCTGAATGTTCTCCAGTAACCATGTAATAACCCCTCTGTTGTGCTCCCATTCCAGACACTGTTCCCACCAGGCTGCTATCCAAAGCTTCCTTTGCTGCAGTGCACTCTTCCTAGACACTGACTGTCTGACACAAAGTCCAAGTAGAGAGAAGTTGAAGGAGAATGTTAAGCAATAGGATGTCTTTAATTCCTTTCTTGTTTAAACTTTATGTACTCAGGTGAGAAAGGATTTTATTTTTCTGAGCTGAAAGAGATTATCAGAAAGCTTGAGAACATGAAAGAGTATCATAAGCTGGAGATAGTTCAGATAATTTTTTGGTGATGAAAGTTCTAAATGACTTTAGTACAAAGTAAGTACATATGAGTGCTTGATGTCTACTAATATGTGATGGCTGGAATGGCTTTTTCTCTTTGGTTTTATTAAGTGCCTGTTATGAAAAAAGATAGTTCATTATGCCATATTTTCAACAAACTTGGAGCAAAAGGCAGTTTTTTTCTGAGGAGCTTTTATCTAACACACAGGATGAAGAGAAATGGGAAGGGTTATAAACAGAAAGGATATGTAAGTATATGCTGGCATTGAAATTTGAATAGGCAGGTAATAGAGCATTGATGAAACAAGCCAAGTGGGGAAAAATAGAAGAGCAAAGAAGAAGGGAACAACAGTCAAAGGGGATGAAAAAAAGAAGGAGAGCACATCTGCTATGGCTGGGGGGAAGGCACTGGGGAAGGTGTGTTGGGGCATACTAGCTTTTCCAATAGAGGAAAAAGTGTTGAGAGCAAAAATTGATACAACCTCTTGACATTGAAAAGAACCATATTGCAGACCTACACAGTCCTTGTTGCTTAGGCCACTATTTGCTGCCATGGTCAGGGATATCTGTTTGCTTTCCTCCAGAGATGATGAATTACTGTTGTGATTTCTCACACTGAGTAGGCAATATAATCCTCAATTTCATATGCAGTTCTCATAATCACATCTCAGAGAGGAGAATACAGAATTATGTCTATGGCTTTAGTTACGGTAAGAGATCATTCCATTGGTGTTAATGACAGATTTGTTGTGCCTTAACTGTTCCCAGTTCAAGTAATTATAAATACTTCCGTCATTGTTTGGTCATCTCAGCACACTATTGGCACTTAGGCTCTTTGTCAGTGCTGAAAGAGGAAAGTTCTGCATTTGCTCATTTTGTGATTTCTACTCCAAAAAGTCTTGACTTTCTACAAACTCCTTATCCTTGTGGAAAGTGAAAAAGAGAGAGTGCTTTTAGGGGACCAGACAAATATATAATTTACAAGCTGCAAAATGACTACTTTAAAATTTAGAGGAAAATGAATGTACCTATGTTCATAACATTTCAGTAGGGGCTACCCAGTAAAGCCATGTACTTGCCCATATGAACTGAACTCCATCAAAAAACAGTTAGGCTTCGAAAACTGACCACTTACATGACAAACCCTTTTCCATTTCACAGTAGTTCCAAGAATGATTTAGAGATAGCAATTTTTGGTCAGTTTTCTTGTAGTTCTTTTTCAGACAATCAAAAGGACAAAAAGTTAATAAAAGCAGACAAGTCTAGAAATCGTCTCTTGACTTCTCAGCCTCTGTATATCGCAGTAGCATTTCTGCAGAAATCCTTCTCAGCCAGTCAGACAGTATTCTGAAAACAACCTTGTACCAAGATAATATCCCTGAGGATCAAACTAGACAAGAATGAAGAACAAACATACATTTTACATTCATATACATAGCAGGAGCATTAAAGATTCAGCTCCTTATAGCAATATTCATAACTACAGGTAAATATTTGCTTTAAATTCATCTTCAATCTATCATGTTTAGGTAAAATTCCCTTAGGTCTCTAGCTTTTGCTAAAGATAAGTGGTTAAATTCTTTTGCTTGAAATATATCTAGTGCTGCTAACAAACCCAGACTTCTCCTCTGCCTCCCCACTCCTGCCCTGATCTTTACTACTCCATACCCAGGTTACATTACTGTGGATGGAAGCTGCTCCCTCAGTCCTTTCTTAAACCTTTTTTATAACTTTCCCTCACTTTATTTTATAAAGTATCATTATTTTGGATTATATCCTTCTTTCCTTGTACCTCTATATTTCACTGCTCCTTTTTCCAAAACATAATGAAACACTTTCCCATCCTTTCAATTAATTTGCATGATAGCCTCAGCAGTCCTCTTGCTGACTGCTGCATCTTCTTTTTTCCAATCGCTCTTGTGTTGCTTCCATCCAGCTTTTTCACAGCTCTACTACTCAGCATAACTTTCTTCGTGGACCATATCACTTTTCTCTTTAAATTTTCTCCAAGATCCACTATTGCTCTTAAAATCCTTGTCTTTTTCTCTACCCTGACCCAAATCTCAGAACTGAATCTGTGTCCTATATGGGCATTTCTGTCACCCACTCATTATCTTTTATGTTGTCCTTGACCATAAAACCGTGCTGCAGAAGTCACTATTATATTCAGGTCTGTGTCCTCATTTTATTCCAAACATTTGGAAAGATATTTTTTTTCATATAAAGGCCACACTATTAACTTGTTCTCCCTAACTAATGAAAAGAATACTCAGGTTACCTAACAAGTACAGCTGAGTTGCCTTTGGTAGGAGATAGCTATGCTAAATTATACCAGAAGAGAAACTGGCCAAAATACAAGTTAACTTCTCCATTTAGAATTTCTTACTGTGCTTTGATTTATCTGTGCCTTATCTTCTGGAGTTTCAGCTGTGAAGGGCAATAATTGTCTTTATCCTTGTGCTGAATACCACTGCTGTGGTCTCAGTTCTTTCAAGCTGGTAAATAATGAGATACTCATGAAATTCTTAGCGGGTGTTTTGCGTTAATATCTCATCTGATTTCAGTGGGAGGTTTACCTGACTAAGATCTTCCACAAAGCAGAATAATTTCTTGTTCCCCCTACCAGGTAACAAATGCCAGCTTAATACGTCAATCCATCATCACATAGTTATGTGTTACACGTAGCCAAAAGTCCCAATAATAAATTCTAATCTCCTTGGGATGATAAAATAGAAAATTAACGTGAACCTATTGTAAATAAAACTTAATTCCCTAAAAAGCAAGGCCTACTTATACCTTAATAACACAATGGTCTTTCCACCTGTCAGTCTAGAAACTCAGTACCACTTGGTATGACATAATTTATTTTGTTCTAACAAACCTGTTAGTAAGGTGAGCCCTACAGCTCTTGGAGAGAGGATTGTAGAGTGGCAAAACATTTGGTCAGTTCCACAGAGAAAACAAAACTGCATTATTGTGGCCAGGGGCAGAATTGAAGTTGTTTTTTGAAGCACTGGAGCATACATTTTGAAGTGCAACCCTTGCTTTTGCTAACAGGTGAGAGTTTAATTCAGTTGCTTGGGCAAAAATAGAGGCACAGCAAGACCTGACTCTTTGTTCAAAGTTCTGCCATGAAAAGGAGGCAAAGTTCAGGCATAAAAAGGAGGGAAATTTGACACTTCGCCCTGGTTCTGGCCAAGACAGGGTTGATTTTTGCAGTAGCCAGGAGGGGGCATGGCTAAGACACAGAGGTTATTCTGTACCACCTCACATCAAAACAACACCACAAAACATTTTCCAGGGACAGGGGAAGGGGTTCTGTACAGGTCATGTAGTGTGGTGGCACGGTGAGGTATTGTCGGGGGTCTACGCGTGGTGTAGTGGTGAGCACTCCCTTGGGAATGGTTCACCTCTTTACACTCTGTTATTAATATAGTTGCTATTACTGTTCATTTTCTTATTCTGTTGCTGTTTCCAGTAAATTGTTCTTATCTCTATCCATAATCTTTACCTTTTGTGACTCCAATTCTCTTCTCCATCTGGCTGCAGGGGAGGGGCGAGGGAAACGGGGGAGTGAGCTAGCAGCACGTGGTGGTTTGGAATGTTTTGGTAGGAACATAAAATTGGGGAATACCATTCCTAACCCACAACACACATCCTGTTAGGAAATGTGGAAATTAGCTACCTGAAGGAGAGATGCTTCTCTTCCCTTTACAGTGAATGGCTGTGTGACATGCCAAAAGTTTTTTTAACTTCAGGATGTAGTGTTACTGGGGAACACCCCACAGGCTGTACCATGAACTATGACACTAGACAGGATGTTCAGAATGGGCCCCATTCTTCCTTTGCTATAATTATTTTTTCATTTTTAAGAGCACCTGATCTGTTTTATTGTCATGACTCAGTTGTACCTTGTGACACAGACACGCAAAAGTCCACCTCAAATCTTCTATCATAACTCATCATGATGCAATGCTATATGAGTTTTGGGCTGTCTTGATAGTAGAGAATACTGCTCATGTCTGGCAGAAAAGAGTTTGCCTGAGGGCTAGCTAAAAAACCAAAGACCTATTTGCCAAATATGAATGGAGCAAATTCTCTTGTGATCCATGCTGCAGAGCATGGTACACATCTGATACTTACATGTATCAGGAAGAGGAGTGTCTGCCAAAAAGCAGACATGCCACCATCACTTTCTTTCCCTTCATCCCTTGTGGTAATTTAATTTTTCTCTTTCATCCCGAGTAAATGTTGAGCTTTGCTAACACTAAAAGTACATTTCATTACGCTTTGTGATAATTGGTCTGTTGGTAATTTGAAGGTTGATTAGTTTTTTGTTACCTTTAATTACAAACAGCCACTCTTTAAGTGTTGCTTTAGTGCCAATCTGCTGCTCTAGTCAAGAATAATTTAGAAATTTCTCTTGTAGTTGAAAGAAACTGCTGATGGACAGGCGATCTGGCTGATGGATGGATCCAATACATGTTCTCTCATGGTAGATGATACCAGCAATGAAAGGACCATGCACTGCTTGCAATGGCAGGGCTTGTTATGTCAGTTAATTGCCATTTGTTGTTAATCAGTTACATAAACCAGCAAATATAGTCTCCATTGACCTGTAAGAGGGGTAATCATTATTTGGCACAGAGTACTGCTCCCTTTAGTCCCTGGGCTCTTGACAGAAGATACAGTCTTGTTTCTGATCCTCTCCTGATTCAATCTGAATAGTGATGGAGTGGAAGCTGTAGTGCTCAAATAGGGCTTGGGTAATATCTCTCAAAATCTTCTGGCTGTCCGTTGTGTCTGCTATAGATAGCAAGCAGAAAATAATCAAAATACATACATTTTTATAATACTTTAAAGGAAAGTAAATGTTTACTGACAGAAACTTGTACCAAGAAGTTTGTTTGAGAAGTGTTTCTTGTCCTTTTTATCCTTCTTTCAGGAACCTCCATGTCAGCAAAAGATTGTTCATTCAAATGTGGTTGGAATATGCAATTTTTGGCAAGAGCTAAGCTAAGAGTAATCACCATAGAAATTCAGTTTGGCAGAAGACTGGAGGAAAGCAGAAATACTTAATAAAGATTAGTTCATCCAGTCAGAGAGTAGCAGCAGTGCCAAGTGATTTGGGTGGCTGATAGACCCTCTGTTTTTGGGAAGTAGGGACACCATGGAGGACTTCACCACTGAACCTGTCCTTGGCCAAACACAGGTGGATTCTTTTTCTTAAATAGACCTTAATATACACAAAGCAAACATATGGATGAGAAAATTGATCTGGGTAGTGCACAATTTGTCAACTGGGATAAGAATTACAGTTTAAAAAATATTTTATAATATTAACTATTCCCATGGAGTTTTCTCTACATTCCAAACTATGTTTAAAGATTGTTTTATGACTAGAGATGCATCTGCAATGCAGATTGGCCCTGTAAGTTTTTGTTATAGGGATCAACAGTTTTCAAGTTTGACAAATCCACGCCAGAATCTATTTGTGAAAAAAATACAGTCTGAGCCCAATTCTTCTAATTTATTTAAAATACCTTGTGGTTTACTTCCTTGCTTCACAGCCTCTGTAATTTTCAAATTTTGGACTAAGTAGAGGTCCCTGTTGTTTTGGCAAGATTTCCGAGAGGAGGATTTGAGAGCTTTTCTTGTTATTGTTGTTGGTTTTATTTTTCCAACAAAATCATGCCAAGTTTTTTAACGAGCAACTGATATACAGTCAGTTTCATCCAAATCAGGAAAGACTGACCTTTACTAGACAGCAGCTGAATACTTACTCCCTGCTTACAGAAATTTACTGACCTGTGGCAACGTGAGCAGACAGAGCAGTTTGATTCATTGTCAGAGACCAAAGATGAAGGTTGTGAATAGACTCCACTTTCTCAACTGCTAAAATTCTTGCTTTCACTTCATCATAAGCAAATCCTTTTGATGTTCCTGAAAAGGAGAAATTGATGGGAAAAGAATATTTTAAGGAATAGAAATGATGATTGATAGAGGAAAATGCATCATGAACCTTTATTCACTTTAAATGTATAATTTTTATAAAAATATTTAATACTTTGAAAGCCCATCTATTTCAGAGTTCACTGTGCTATTTAATCCTATCCCTTGTTATACACTTGTCCATGGAAGGTGTAGACTCATGCATGTTTTAGGAGATACCCTGAGGGTTCAGTTTACATAGGATGAGCTATTTAGCCAGAACATGTCCTAGTTTTGCACCAACATATTTTGTGAGTGCAGATTCTATGGCATCACTTGAATACCTCTGGGGCATTTTGTCCTCAATACATTCACACAATAGAGAAGCATCTATTTAGCAGGGAAGGAAAGGTGAATGTAAAGGTTAAAATGGTTTGACTCAGGAATCTTAAACGAGATTAGATCCCAGGTCTAGTTATTGAGTAGCCAGTGGTTGTTTTCCTAGACAAGCCTTCTTACAATACATGATGGTGGTGACCATCATTCAGAGTGAGGACAATTGTGACAGGATGAGTTGCAACATGAAATTCAGAGTTTAATTTAAGTCCAAATTTGAATAAGAAGTTTAACAACACATAATCCCTGGAGTGAGGCCTGGGAATTTGCAAATTCATGTGAGCAGCTATGAGCTAGGACGCTCATCATGATCTGCTTGGATCAGTAAACTGAAAAATATTTTTAATTCCACCAGTTATGAAGTATAATAATGATGAGCACAGTATTGGTTAATTTTGTCTTTCATACCTTAACTGATACTTATTTGTGATTGTCAATGACCTCAGTGTTTTATGCTTTGTCCTATCCATTTATTACAAGAATGATATGCTATATGGAGTACTGACTTAATAGAATATGATGCTGACATGCTCATGCTCTTTTACAGAAAACCACGGACAGTCAGTGCCTACATGACACAGCCAGTCACAGGGGCTGTGGAGCTGATGGTCTGAGACAAGGCTGGATGCATGAGATAAGAGCCACCTCCAGCACCAGCTCCAACATCCAATTTGTCTTCAGAAAACTCTGGGCAGAATGCTATTTAGGAGAGAGGAGCCTGGTTTCAGAGCCCTCTCCAGGAGGACAGTGTAAAAGGTCTTGCTGCAAGCGGGATCAGAGCACTGTGATTTTGGCATGTCAGCGCTGCTTGTAGAACCTAGAAGTCGCTCCTGAGAAAGAGACTCAGGTGTCAGAGGTTGCCAGACCTTCCTGGTAGTTTGATTTTTTTTCAGTAATGAAGATATCTTCTGATTTTTTGACAGCCAGAATACAGCCAGTTGCTGCACTCTCGTCTAGGTACACTTCTACATGGATGTATCTCTATCTCACAATCACTGAAAGCAAAACAACGCTAGAATGAAGCTTTACTGTAAAACAATATTGGAAACATTATTTCTTGAAACATAAGTAGGTGCAAAGTGAAAGAGAGAAGTAAATAGCCATGCAGACAGTCATACTGAGTATCCATTAAAAACCTGCACCATTAGAGCTACTTTTCCCTTTAATCCTTGTGTTTTCATGGCTGAGAAAGAGGTTGCATCATATTATTCAGTGTGAGGAAGGCAAAAACATGCCTCTGTGAATGCTCAAGTCATTTGGCATTACAAATCAAATGTTCAAGCCCATAGCTGACAGGATTAAATATTGCTAAGCTTAGTTCTTCTTGCTGCTGATGTACTGAGAATTGTCTATTCCAGTGCACTTTAACTTGACTGGAAAGGTCCAATAGCTTGCTTTTCTAGACTGGTGTAACCAAAAATCTTTCAAACTTCTGCCTCTTGCACTCAGTCCATTTAACAGAAACAGTTCAAGGCACAGTCTTTTTCTTTTTTTTTTTTTTTTCCACAAAGACTTTTATTTCACACAAGTAAAGGAAATACACGATGAATGAGGTGAGTAGGCATCTCATATGCCAAAATGGTGATAAAAAGCAATGCTACACATACGACAGACAAAAGCAACTCAGAGCTCATTAGCAAAACACCAATACACTGATTTTTACAAAAACTGGCATATGTGTAAACCTAGAGTTTACAAAAAACAGTTTTGATTAAAATTAAAAGTAGTTTAAAGTATGATCAGAATCTTAAGAATATTGGAAACTGATGTAGAAGTGTGTTATTATAATTTTTCAGCACATATAAGCATTATGGAGAAAGAGATAGAAGAAAACAAACCCAAAATATAAGTTTATTGATTCTGGAATCGGGTCCTACCTTCCATTAGCACAATCAAAATATCCCTTAAAATGGTGATGGTAGTTGCCAAAACAAAGATGGAAAACACAAATGTGCAGATTGGGTCAGCTATTTTGTATTCTGGCTAGAAAAATATGAACACATCACTTTGTTAATTTCATTTTTGTTTGTTATTGGAATTTTTTATTAGTTAATATCAAAGAATAATATATTCAATTAATCTAGTACAGAATGAGTGCTGGCCTCCTTTGTCAGGGAGCCTCAGCCTCAGTACAGAAAATGAAGGTGCTACAAACGACAAAATGGAGAGACACTGAAGTATCCGCTTGGAACACTAAGAAGCAAGTGTTACACTCTCAACAGTCATTTCAGTTCCCAAGTATAGTTCTCTTCGACTAAATTACAATGTGTATCATTAAGACAGAGGAAATATTTACAGAGTACTCGGTGTCACAACGCTGTGAAAGTAACACTTATCCTTAATTGCAAGGAAGGCAAGTGAACTAATAAAACTAACCTTAAAGAAGATGATAAGTGCGCTAATTAGCACACTAATGCTCTGGAATAGGTCTCCAACGGCATGCACAAAGGCTGCCCGCAGGCTGGCATTGCTCAGAGCTGGCTTTTCTCGAGGGGCTGACACGTGTTCCATGGCTTGTGCCCCATGGCTGTGCCCGTGGCTGGTCTGGTGCAGAATCAGGCTTAGTCTGCAAGAGATGTAAAGCTGCAAATACCAGCGGATATACTGCATCTCTGAAAGCAGTGATGTCACACACATCATCACCCCTCTCACTTCTGAATGCTGAACGGTAAAATCTGACACATTAGGTAGAAATACAGAGTGGTTAAGCAGATAATTCCTGCGTGTTTCACTGGTTTGCATACAAACAAGAAAGTCTATGAACAGGGTAATTAATGAGACCTCATTTTCTACAGAGTTCTTGAATATTCTGACATCGAATAAAAAGCGAGATGGAGATTAATCTTTTCCTGGAATTTTGCCTTCTCAGTGTGGCAGCTAACAGAAAGTAGGAGAGCAACTGCAACTTTCAATGAGAAGCACGATCTCTCTTCTCGACTCCTTTCCATATCCTCATGAACATCATAAGTACTTAATATTTTTGAGGCCAATATCTCTATATAGTTTTTTATTGAATTACAGCAGCAGGCTCAAGTTTCAAATACTATATGGAGAGGAAAACAAAATAACTTACAGGATGTTGGCGAGCACGGCAAAAGCAGAAGTAATGAGCATCACTGTAGTGTCAATATCGTAATCAGGGTGTAGCAGCCTCATGCTAGCCAAATATATCAACACGCCAGTCACCATCCAGACAATTATCATAGACATCAAAGCTCCCAGAATTTCTAGGAATTAAAACAATCTGATTTTAACAGTCAGAACAGAAATGCAAGAAATTTTAAGAGGTTGATGGTAATGGTTCCAGACTTGTTGAGTTTTATAGCCAGGAGACTGGCTTCTTGTATGTTGGCAGAGAATGCATACAAAGAATGGGTTAAACCCCTTTCTGGTCATAGTAAATCCAGTGACTTCCCAGGGCAGCCTTATGCATGTGATAGCCTTACCCTGTTCTACCTGCCCCTACTTTTGGCTCCTTTTCAGTGTTGAGTTCGTGTGTCATTCAAAGAAATTGGAGAGAAGAAAAAGGTAATTTGGGCAGTTCTGGTAGGAGCAAAAAGAACTATAATGAGAAGGAAGGATAAAAAAGCAAATCTTGTGTAGTTTCCTGGCCCTGATAGTGTGGTGTGAAAACTCCAAAGACCAGCCCTCCTTCCCCAACAAGATTATCTTGATCACAGGAGCAGAAGTTGGAGGGAAGGAGAAAGGCACAGCTCACTCAAACACACTGGCAGACATAATCCCTGTCGATTACCTTCCCCTCTTTCTGCACACTTCTTATCACTTCACAGTTCAGAAAAGCAGTAACAGCCCCCAAAGAGGTCCTGCCAGCAAAACTTATCCTGGAACTCGTCCTGCCAATGCCACAAAATAATTTTTGTGCCACCAGCTGTGATGAGAACAAAAGAAGTTATTTTTTCCCTGGGGCAGCAAAATTTAATTTTGTCTCTATTGGCTCTGAGTTGGGCTCAAATAAATCCAGTCCCCAAGGCCACCTTTTATTGCACTGCCATAGAAGAGGTCCAGGGAAGTGCACATGAATGTGCAGCATGCTTCTAATAGGATGTGGGACTAGTAATTGCCATGTGACTTGAATGGGTAAGTGAGCACAACTGAGAGAGTACCAGGGAAAATGAAAGCTCACAGTAAAGTGAAAGGAAGTAGATACCCAGAAAGCATTTGCACAGAATTCCACTAACAATCCCTGAAAACAGCTTATGATTTTGAATATATTTTTATGAGGGTCACCCCTTTTGCAGCAGTCCAGGCTCCAAATACTTATCAAATAACCATTTTATTCTAAAACTGGCAAATAACAAATGAAAATGCACTGACAGGGGAATCTAGTGTTGCTTAAAAGTAGAGAGAAGCTCAAATAAAGCATACAATTTTTTTTCTTCAGGTTACAGGTTGAAAGTGCAAATTTGGCCCAACTGAAGGTGTTGATGGCTGTGCTATCATGGGCATGAAAGCAGCCAACAGCTTTTGTGAACACCTGTGTTCATATCTGTGTGGATGTGTGCATATCCTCCACAACAGAATATGTTAGAATTCATCTTTACCTACATAGGTGAAAATACATATTAATTTTCAATGTGTTATCTTAGCAAAAGTTTAGCTAAGTTTACAGACCAGTTCAGCAGCACTCAGTTGTGAGGTAAATTTCTTTAGAACTACTGGCACGAACAGAGTACAGCAAACAATAGTGTAGGATTGTGTGGGAATCTGTGAATCATAGCAGAGGGAAACTGAGGTGCAAGTGAGTTTTTGTACCTGGAAGTAGGTTTGGCTCACACTATCAGTCTTACTCAATATTGTGCTTCAATCTGTGTTGCTGAAAGTAGCTGCACTGGTTCTGGCTTGGAGGGCAGGAGGCACTCACATGGCCTCTGCTAAGCCTGAACCGTGTCATACAGTCTTTTCATGGCAATATCTATCAGTCTGAGAGAAGCAGTGAACAAACAGCTTCCAGTATCGTGGAGGGCTGCACCTGTAAGACCTTGGTAGTCAGTGAAGAGTGACTTTGTCGCCTGACTGCCCTCGGCTACTCTATTAAGGTACCCATCTGCATATTACACTGGAAATATAGCTGGGAAAATAAGCAAGAAACAGGATAGCAATCATGGAATGCAATTAAGTAGCCTCTAACATTTGATATAGGGCTCTCTTTGCATACAAAAAGGCAAGAAAGGATTGATTTTGAACTTCTGCATTGCAATGAAAAAGAAATAATATAATTCAGACTGAGGATGAAGTTACATGAGGTGGCTGAACCTGCCTACATCAGCAAGAGAGAAGTCTCTCACTTTTTTTCCCCCAGGCTAAGAGAGCATAAACACAAAAAGTAATGAATGATTTACTGATGGTAAGTAGTAGTTCTCTAAGGCTACAAAATTCAGCTGTGTGTTGTCTCTATAATACCAGCAGTGCTTGAGTAATACTGAACCTCCCTCTCACCCAGTTTGTTTCCAGCAGAGTTGATAGAATATACTTAGGGAGCTACATAAAGACAGGATGAGCATGGCATATGTCTTCCCTGGTACTTTCTGTGGCTACAAACAACCTTGGCCTACAGACATCCTGAGTCAGAAGCTGCTTCTGGGCCTTCATACTGAACATCCTTGATGTTCACTATTTATCATCTGAGTCCTTGGGTCAGGTGCACAGGTGTCTAAAGTCATTTAAGATACATTGGCACCTTCATGTATGGCTTGACACAAGATGTATAATTTATCCATGGACTTCTGGAGTGGCAGCTGGATTTCAAAAAGCACAAATCATTCACATACAAGCAACTAAACTGAGTCCCAAGACATCCAGCAGGAGACTCACTTCCAGACTGAGATAATTAAATTGAAATGTCTACCTGCAGGTGTGAGCTAAGCTACCTTTATGAACAATGGATGTCAAATTAATGGTGATTGCTCCATTGGCTGACTGGGAACACATACTAGTTTCTTAACTATGAGTGTCTGATCACATTTGAGATGCCCTGGTCTTGTGCTTGGCATCCTGTGCAGTCTCCTGCGGGACTTGTGCGACAGCTGCCATTCCCATGCATAAGACAGACATTCTAGGGACGTAGCACTAGACTTCTATGTTTATGGAGCTGAATGGAGTCTACATTTCTGTTGAATGTATCAGACCCTGTATTTATATGTGCTCGTGTATATGTAGCATTGATATTTAGGTGTCTAAATCTTGAACAGACTCATACTCCGAGAAACTTTTTCTCATGGTTAATGTTTTGCTGATGTCTTGTCTTTGTAAAAACACTTGTGTTTGATTATCGGGCTTTTGATATTAGGTGTCATTGGTAAAAGTATTGATTTTGGTTAGGGGTAGAGTATGTTAAAAATCTGCCTGTGTTTGCATCTGATAAAAACAAGCAATGATAAAGAGAATTTCAGAGAGAGGATCTAGAAAAGGGTAAGTGTTAAAGGATCTCACTTTTCTACAAATGTAATGTTGACTTTTTAAAATAATTTAATAATTTTCTTTATAAATAGAGGAAACCTTCATTTTTATGGGTATCGCTGCTTTGACAGAAACTTGTGTTTCTGTCATTACAGATTGAGGGCTTAGTCCTCCTCACACTCAATTCAATGAGGGAAATTGCTGTTACCTCAGCCAAAGCTAGCACCAACCCAAAACTATAGTAAATAGTGATCTGAAAGACACACTTGTAGACAAGAGATGCTCTTTACTTCTTTGAAGCTCACTGTCTTACTCTGTTTGTCTTGAGTCCTGGGGGCTTTGAGAGCATTAGTGCGCTGTCTCTAAATGCCTGCAGAACTGTGTTGGACATCAGCACGTTTTCCAGTCCCTGGCTATGATAATCTACCTTTCCCTTTCCACGTGTTCATACTGTGAGATGTTTGCTACCTGCTCGGTGCCACCCAAAAGTTAGTTGTTTGGTAGGAGGTTTGGAGGCAAGCCACAGTGAGAAGAGGCTGATTAAGAAACTCGTCAGGTCCACCAGGATGTGTGCCGCATCCGTGACCACCGCCAGGCTCCCGGCGATCTGCCCACCTGTGTGAAACACACATCCGTATCATCGCTCTGGTCAGAAGTTTGAGTCAACCAGATCAGACTCAAGACCTGCTTTGCTGGGAATAAGAGGGAACACTCAATTTTCAGTCATCATACACAAGACTCAAACCACTTCAAAGATCGTTTCATTTTCTACCTCATTCATGTAATAAAAGGTATGAATTAATAGAAACACATAAGCCAAATTTCTTTGTGAGAAAGAGAGACCTAAGAACATTAAGAGTTGTGATACATTAGTTCTGTGGTTATTTTACTGTTGGACTGTTTTACTGTGACTATTTTAGTATCAGATTTCTTCATGAAAAGCTGTATTAGGAATAATTTTTCCAGTATTGTCCCACTATCTTTTCTGATATTTTTATGTATGTACAAACATTCAGAGATGTAGCTTATGGGATTCATTTCCTATTTGTTATAGGAAAATATGCATATTCTTCCTGAGGTTTGGGTGGCTGGATGCCCGACTGTTTATTTGTCACAGGCAACACTAAAACAGGAATACATGGAAAGGTCCCAGTAGAAGGCCTGTGATAAACAACTAACCAATTTAGTGAGGGCATGGAGAAAAATGTTCTGTTTTCAGGACTAATCTATCATTTTACATCTGTAATGCATGATTTAATTTTCCTGCTAAAGCTCAAAAAATGTGGCTGAATATAATTTTATTTTGCCAGGGTTGGGTTTTATGTGAATTCTAAAGAAAAAACCCCAAACACCAAATTCAAACCATTTTAGGTTATTGTAATCCACATTTCTTTTACCCACTAAAGCCAAATATCATTGTTTTGCCAAATTCTTCTAACCATGTCTCAGGGCTAAGGGCAAACCCAGATGAACTAAAAGTTTGTTCTAAACTATCCCCACTGCTGGTGGCTGTAGGAGAAGACAAGGATCACAGGCAGGACTCATTACATGTCCTGCCAACTCATTACAGCAGGAGAATCTTTTCATCAGAGTGCAAATGTAGAAAAATGGAAATGTGAAATAATAGAGCCAAAATATCTAGTTTCTGCATTTGGCAATACATTTCCATTCTTCAGTCATTTAATTAATTTCAGCTCACCCATTTCTCCTAACCACAGTCCATATGAGAATCAATGAATCCTGACAAACTTCGTAAAATGACTCATTCAAACCTTTGGCAGGATATCACTGTCAAAGGGACATGTAGGCACATCTCTTGTTTCCTTATAGATGCAAGGTCTTCATGCCAGCAGGATGGACTGTTTAATTTCCTCCTGTATGCAGATTTTAGATTAGAATACCACACATCATATGTTTTGTCACCACAGGAGAATGTATTTTGCACATATAAGGCATATATTATTTTTCTCTGTTGCCTCCCATTTACAACTGCCTGAAAGTTACTTCCCAGAAGGGAGCAAGCATGGCTGCAGAATTTGGGGGCACTTCATTCCTTGCAGTAAATTCAGCAGAACAGATATTTCCCAGGACATGCACAGGTATAAATACACATATACTTTTTGGTCACGACACAGGTCTTAGACTTTCACTCTCAAGTGGGAGGCAGTTTTGCATAGAAAAAGGAGGAAGGCTTGTCTCACAGTGCACAGATGTTAACAACCAAGGCAGCAGCTATCTTTCAGTAAACAAATATGTAAAACACAAGCTGCATGCAAAACCCCATCACATTTTAGATACTGTATTTCCATATTCTGTGGGACAACATCTCAAAAGCTTGCTTCTAGCCTTCTGCCTTTGAAAAATGTTTGCAAATTTTTACTTTATGTATTGTTGGTGTAACTAATGCCTTGGGTGAATTTCTGAGATCTCAGTCTGCTTATCTTAGCAACTTGGTCAAGTCTTTATATTCTGTTCTGACATGAGGATGCAAGCAGGGTTTGTCTTTCTTTCTAGTGCTCAAATGGAAATGAAGTACTTTGAAATCCACGTTTGGTCCATAGCCACTAAAAATCTTTGGAAACTACTTTCATATCAGGGCTTTACATTGGGTGCTATTGGTTTGACTGATATCTCCAAATCTATGGAGATTGTGATGGGTCTGCTTTAGAAGAATGGAAGATAATTGTCTTTCAAAGACAGTGTATCAGGCTTAGCCCTTCTGGGACAGCAGTAATGGCCAGCAGAGATGGCTTGAGCAAAAATATCATGGAAATACTTAGGCATTCAAAGAAGCACAACGTTTCAACCTCTGAGAGGGATGCAGTTTTGTTTCTTCTGTTTAACATAATAATGCCCACAGAAGCCGTTTACCCTTAGAGTAGAAGGAAGGGGAACATATCCTTTACTTTCAAGAGTAAAGCCTGTGTAATAGTTATAGGCTTTTCCTGCCTTGTATCAATACTCCCAACAAGGGGCCTTTATGGCTTATTATTCCCTACAATGGATGTTTATAGCTTTGTATACCACAAGCAGTAGAAATTGTCAGTCACTCAGTGGTCAATCATCAGGCAGAGGCAGTCTTGCTTAATGATTAAAAAAATTAAATGTATGGTTCATAATTACAAAAATCTCCATAGAGTGCTGTCTGTAACTGCAGTTAATAACTGGTTTGTCAAAGTTTAATGGTCTGAAGCAAAATGGTCTTCAAGCCTGTTACTTAAGCTGTCACTGCAAAAAAGCTGTATGATTCATTAAGCAAAATGAAACATTTAGTTAACATATCATCTGTCCTTCCAATTATCCTCTAGCCTTGCTGCATTCACCAAACTTAAGCCTACTGATTATATGGTTTTGTTAATAATGCATTACTTCTGGCACTGGAAATTACTGCATGGGGATTAGCAATATGCATGGGTTTTCACAGGGGAAATGCACGTGACCTACAAACAACAGGGCTTCATGCAGATGGAGAGCACGGGAGGGAATAGTTTGAGAAGTCCCTGCTGGGTTTGGCAGCCAGGGGAGAAGGTAGAAATGCAACAACTCTTTCAGTGCCTCCACTTCTCACCTGTGGGGAAGACAAAGCTTTTCTCTTTCATTTTCATGGGGCTCCAGAGGTCCCTGAGCTAGGAAAGTATGGGTTTCAGAGGCTTTCCTGGCTGATTTTTGTTACATCGCCTGGAGCACATATGGCAAAAGTCTGTGGGATTTCTCATGCTTTTCCCTACCTCACCTCACCGTGGAGAAGGACAAGTTAAAGAGCCAGGAACTATCAGGTGGATATAAATATCACAGAATCCATGGAAAGAGCAGACCAGTGGGACAAAATGAAAGCTAATGCTCTATGAGCAAGCCAAATACTTATATTGGATATTGTAGGATGGGTCCAGAAGTGAAAGCTAATTAGGTAGGGGAATAATCTTCCATTGATCCAGAGACACACCAGCAGGCCAATTTAAAAGATAAATGTGCCCGATATAAATACATTGACTTAACTGTAGAAAAACAGATGGCAAATCTGGCCCTGGATTTCCCTGGATTTTGTGAAGATTCTTGCATTTATTATCAGATTATGCTGCTAGCAACCTTCATCAATGCTGAGTCTTGTTGGCCGGGATAAATATGTAAAATCCTTTAATCTTTAAAAAAAAAAAATCCAGTTTATTAGAAACCTTTTGTGACATGATGCTAAGACATGCTAGTCACTTTTAGTCAAGTTTAAAGACCTGGGAGAACAGTTCAGGCTATTAACTGATCTTTGTATTCCTACCCAGATGCAATCCTTGAATGAATATATAAAGATACTTTGATAATTTCACTTAACACCCCCACACACACCCCTCCCCCATGATTCTTTTAATGACTGGTGACAAAGGAGGTTTATTTAATCCCAGGTGGGTTCACGTCTGTGCACTGTGGGTCCCTGCAGGCACAGTGTATAGAGAAGGCATGAATGTGGCTGTGCTGGGCACCAGACTGAGCTCTCTTTGAACACACATACTCCCCTGTTATCTCAGCAATCATGAAGAAGATGCAAATTACTGATGCTACACAGAGCTTCCTCCTGGCTTGATGCTGCTCCCTCTTTCTGTTCTCATAGGCCTGTGAGTAGCCGTGACAGTGATATGCTGGATTAGCTTCAGCAACTTCTGCTTCCTGCTGCTGCCTGTCTTCATTTAAATTCTTCTGAAGCCAGCTCATCCTTCAGGATAGAAAGAAACAGAGGTTAAAAAAGAAAAACCCTGGTTATTTGGGCTTCTAGCCCTGCAGACCCAGAAACTATGTAATTAATGTTTTCAAAGGATAAAAGCAGAGTTGGGAACAGCAGCACAGGCCACAGAAGAGGCTTGCTCGCACAAGCAGGTCTCTGTGGGAGGGAGCTGCACATGAAATGACTGCTCTGGTTGTGTTTCCCAGCTCTTTGGGCTCTCCTACATCATTTAGCAGTTTATGAAATGCAGGGTGGCTTTCTTAGGCTGTGTATTTCTTGCACACCATATGATTTTCAAAAAGTCATACCTCATGCAAATAGTTACCAAATTCAGCATATCACAGAGACAATTCTACTGAAAAATTCAGGATTTTATTCCCAATAGCTTTGTCAGATAGACCAGTAAAAAAATAAAAACTTTTTCTCAAATATAAATGGCTAAAGATATTTCTCTCCTTTCTTTACATGCAGAACTATTTTATCTCAAATTTCCAGATATGTACAAAAACTACCAATATTCCTGCAGAACCTGAGCATAGAAAATTCAAAGGTATTTAAAAAATCAAAGCAATAATTTTTTCATAGTATGCTGACCCCTTTGTGCCACCGCTTTCATGGAATAGTGAGAAGTTCAGTAGAAGTGGCTCTTCAAGCATTTCTTCATCACAAGGTGATTTCCCAGCCAAATCTGCTCTGCCAAAAAGCCTCAGTGTTGTCCCTGTCAGGGTTCCTGCACAGCAAATACATAGTGGGGATAGAGAGGTCCTGGGCCACGGCATTACAACTGTGGGAGCTCCTGGATTGCCATGACATCTGGGGCTTTCACTAAAGTAACACAGAGACTGCCCCGGGGGAGCCACCAGGGTGGTTTGGTGAGCAAGGATGTTCCCTTCTCTTTACCTTTCAACTGAGAAAAACCCAAAGGCTCACTCTGTCCTAGAAAGCTTGACTGAAAACCATTACATCTCTCCAGATAAAACATTTGTTGCCAGAGCTACTTCTGATGTGATAACCGTGTATTGAGACTGTGGCATCAGAATGCGAATTCTGCTGAGATGCACATACATAACATCCATATAACCATGAGCTGCAGCTATTTGAGGTCTGGGTGTGCATGGCCTACCCAGGAACACAGCAAACTCCACTGCTTTATTTCAAGTCTGAAATTAGCCTGGAGGCAGGATGTGGGACTGGGCTTAGCTGCCCCAGTAATAACAGCCTCTTTTCCCCATTCTGACTTCAGACTTTCCTTTGGGACACAGAAGAATTGTTTCTTCAGCTAAGTGAAGGAAACCTGGGCTCCAGGAAGTAAGATGGATCCAAGTGACTATCTGTAGTGTTTCTTATCATTGAAGTGTCAAGATGCCTAAAATCTCGCTGGAAAGAAATCAGCTGGTGGCTGCCAACCTGCAGTAGTCAATGTCAAGAAAAAAACTGTACTGAAATCACAAGCTTTTTCCAGCTGCTTTTTATGGGCAGCCTGAGAGGGCTGCAGCTGCTCAGCGGGTCTGAAGTCCTGCCAGATGCCCCACACCAATGGGCGAGAGGCAAAGGCACCTGCAGAGCTATGGATGCCTTGGCCTTTTGTGTTCACCAGCACCACAGAGGTACTGGCAAAAGGAGAAAAGCTGACCTACCTTGGCAGCCAAGCCCTGCAACTGTAGATAATCAGTGTGAATTTGGTTTTGTAAATATTATTGAGATGTTCCAAGGATACAACATTCCCCTGAGTCAGCCTGTTTCCCAGCCTGGTTAGCATGTGGTCTCTGTTTGCTCAGTGAAGGCGACTGATTCCCCTTGTATGTGAGGAGCTTGTGTGAAAGAGCAACTGGTCAGATTTAATGCCTAGTGCTTGGAGACAGTGAGTTTTTTTAGTCCTTTTGTCAGCATTTTTCTTTATTTTCCTCACAACAATGAATAAATGGGAGCTGGACTGTCTGGGGAACGGGCTACCCATCTGGCAGCTGGGTTCCCCACTAGCCAGTCCTTCTCCAGTCCTTTAGTTTTACATTCATCAGGGTCCTCATGTGCTCTGTGTCACTTTTGTACAGTATTTTCCTGATGAATTAGACACAGAAGGTACCACAAATTAATTCCTTCCAGATGGCTGAATAAAATGCTGCAGTTCTCTCACTCTCCCCTGGAGATCAGGGCAGGCAAGATTTTCTTTATCGTGATCTCTCTCTGGAGTTAACTTCCAATGCTTTTCTATAGTTTGCATGTAAAATTAATTTCCCCTTACCTCAATTTTCATCAGCTGGCATTAAACGTTAAAATCATCTTAATTACATGAGTCACGATCAGCTCAACAGCCTGTCAGGGCAGGGATGGCAAAATTGCAGCTGCATATTTCTGAGCCACCAAATCCTTTCCTTGCTGTTAACAAAATAGGTTGCTCTTTGATCACCCTCCCTTTTTTTTTTTTAATCTTCAGGTCTCTTTATCAGCTAACAAAACCTTGGGGCATCACAGAGGGGCAGGAAAGCACTATCCACAGATATTGTTGGACAGATGCGAAAGCAAACAGAGAAAACATAAACCCACAAATGTCACTTTTTTCTGCCTAAAGGGCACCTAAATAAAAGTGCCCCAGTTGCCAGAGGTGGTGAGCATTCACTGAACTCACAGAACCGCATCTGGCCTGATGAATTGCAAAAACTCCTGCCAGCTCCTGTGCATTATTTTTCTCTTCCAAAAGCAGCCTGCCACTAATTAAAAGAATCTAAGAGGTAGTTTTATAAAAGTGTGAATCAAAAGCTTAAGGTGCAAAGATCAGCTCTGTTAAACCAGAAACCCCTTCAGAGTGTGTTAGAGCAAGATGTAGCCTTTGAGTATCAGATCTCTGCACCTGCACATTACAGAGTCACAGATTAAAAAAATAATCTTTTCTCCATTTCAAATTCTCTTTTCTTTGTAAAAAAGATAGTCAGGGGAATGTCACAGAAAGGCTCCTACTGAGTCATGCCCAGAAGGGGGAAAGTAAAAAATATTAATACATAGTGCAGATTCCACACAAATCATTAGCAACAGCTTTTTATTACAACTTCCTTTTGTTTGTTTTCACTTGATCTGCTGGGTGCCTTGATCTGCAGGCTGATGGGAATAATTGCCATCCTCCTAGACCATTATGAGTTCCCCAGTCAAAAGAGCAAAATTTGGAATCACTGCACTTCCCACAGGAGATCATCTCCTTCACAAGGGAAAATAGTAATTTTCTGGTGCCTGAAAGGATAATGAAAGTGCCTTCAGAGAAAAATTTATCAAAGCCACAGTCACCTCCCTTATTCTGGCACAATTCTGATTTTGATTTTTAATATTTCCAAGGCATTTAAGACCCTGTTAATAGCCTGGCTGTCCAGTTTCTCATTTTCCTTATTGTGGACACAAAATAAATGCAAATATTTATATATTTGCATACATTTAGATGTCTAGTAATTGGGAATTTGTGCCTTGGTTATTTTATTTAATCACATTTTGAGGACCTGGCCCCATATATATAAATGTATTGTCAATAAATTTCCTTCTGCAAAACAGTAAAGCAGTAGTTGCCCAGAGATAGACCAAAGGTGTATGTAGCCAAGTATCCAGACTCTGTCATGATCATGAAGGAAATGCATAAGGACAAAGAACCAAAAATGAACATGTCCAGAGAGGGACTGCTTCCCAGTTACACAAATCTGGAGGCTGGGAGGTGGCTGAACCAGAGCTCCTGTCTAACAGCCCTTTACAGATCTTTATTCCACAAACCCAGCTGACTTGAAAGTGTTGAGTTCCACAATTTAATTATGATTTGTGTAAAAATAATACATCCTTTGTTACTCTGAAGCTGTCTGCCTGCTATTTTAATTAGTTCTTGTACTGTTAGAAATAATGAATGACTATTCCCTGTTTACCTTCATCACATCATTCATGATTTTATGTATCATTGTTATACCTCTGAACTATCAATTTTCTGAGCTGATGCCCTAGCCATTTAATTTCTGTTTCATACCACTTACTATCTTCGTTCTAATTTTCTTTCTGAGATGAAGTGGCCATAATTGAAGTGGGCATAATAGAGGTGGCATGTGGCCAGTACTGGGCAGACACAGTCTTAGACATTAGTCCTTTCTACAGGGTCCTAATGTTACCAACAGGAGGGCAAAGGCAATGGGATTGGTTTTGCTGAGTCTGCTAAAATACTATGTGCTACTGGGACCAGCTGGCAAGCCAGTACAAAGGAGATATAATCACAGGGCCCTCAGCTAAAACACTTCAGAAGTCATGAAAAACACCTACAGTTTTCCTAAGCATTCACTTCTGTAAAGCATAATGAGTGGTGGAAAGCCTTTATTTGATGAGGACTCTTTGATCTCGTAAGAGTTTTCATATTGCCTGCAGGAAGGCAAAAAAAGAAGAAAATATTCCCTATGTGCTTGCTATACAAATCACTCTTTACCTGAAGAAATCATCTCCCAGGCTCGCTTCAAACTTTTGCCTATTGGTATGAGCCTGGCAGACAGGAATCAACCATGAGCCTAAGACTGATAGGCAGCAATATCTACGGGTCACCTTAATGCCCTGTGTTAAAACTTTTGCATGAAGACAAGCCCTAAGGTTTTAACACATCTCTTTTTGCTTTCAGAATTGTTCCCCACTCATTTTTTTCTCTTGTCTCAGAGACAGAATAAAACTCAAAACCTTGAGACTAAAAGCCTTGAGTTTCACTGTGTGATGGTATTCAAATTCCCACTATAATGACATATAAAGGACATAATCAGAAATTCAGAAAATCATACTGAACCAAGCCAAAATCTAGTTCACAGTATAACTGGCACAATCAGAGGTAAATTCACATATTTATGAAGTGGGATATTGAATATTCACTGATTTAATATTACACTGATCTATTGACAGCAAGAAATAAAATCATCTGGTCTGTCTTCATTCCTGGAAACTTCAGGAATTTGGTTGAGATATTATCTAGACTGTGATAAGTGGTTATCTAGATCACTAGATAGGTGATAATAAATAAAAAAATGACATAATAAATGGCTAATCATTGGAAAAACTTATCTCTCTTACCACTATAACTGATTGTGAAAAAACCATGGAAAACCACCTTAGACACCTGGTTCAGACCTAATTTAAAGAGAGATGATACAAATGTATCTTTGGATGACTTACAGACAACACTTGTTGCATGAAGCGGGAGGTTCTGAGCGCTCAGCTTCAGACCCTTTTATCATTATGGTTCATACCCTTCCTCGAGGCTGGTGGGAAGTGGTGTCCTCTCCTGAAACCCATCCTGTGTAATGTCTTTGTCTGTTACCTGTAGGAGGAGGTGTAGTGCACCTGGTCACGTTGGCAGATGATGCCAACCTGAGGGTGCAGCTGATAGATTAGAGGACAAGGCTGCCATAAACAGGCTGGAGGAAGGGGTCAACAGGAGCCTTCTGAAATTTTACAGGGATGGATGAATCAAAAGTAATGCACATGGGACAGACAGACTCGTGAGACCACATCTAGAATGTTGTGTCCAGTTTTGGTGTCCCTAATGTGAAAGATCAATAAAGTGGTGCAGGTTCAGTAGAGGGTAACTAGGATGGTTAAAGGCTGGAGCACTTCTGCAGGGACTGGACTTGTCCAGTCTAGAGAAAAGGTGGCTCCATAAGCACCTGGCTGCAGCCTGCCAATATTTTTGAGGAAGCTATTGAGAAGATGGAGCCTTATTGCTGTGCATGGAGGAAGAATGAGGTCATTGGTCATAAAGTGAAACAAGTTCAGATTGAATATGAGGAAAAAAAAGAAAAAAGACTGTGAGATTAATTCAGTTTGGGAGCAGATTGCCCAGAGATGTTGTGCAGCATCCATCCTGAGAGATTTTTTTCAAGACTTGACCAGAGACAGCCCTGAGCAACCTTGTTCAGTTGCTTGGCTGACCCAGGTTTGAGCAGGAGGTTGGACCAGAGACCTCCTTGAGGTCCTTTCCAGTGTGAATTATTCTTCAAGCTTACAACTGATCTGTTTTTCAGAGGGCTCAGTTAAAGCCCGCCCTCTTGTAAGCCTTTCAAGTTAAGCATGGGAAACCTCAATGCATCCAAATCTGCTAGTGACTACAGAAGGCCTGGCATGTGCAAAATACCCTCCTCCAGCCCTGAGTACAAGGAAAGGGGTTTGTTTTCAGGCTTCCTACTCACATGGTCAAGATAAAACCAGTTTGTTCCGTGTGTGTCGTAATGATGGCACGTATCAGAAAGAAGCTGGAGGATGGCAAAGAAATATGCAACCTGTATGCAAAATAAAGTCTGTAGAAAGCATTAGAGCTGTTCATTAAGCCTACACATGGGAAATGGAAAAATGTGTTAATTTATACCAAAGGCTAAGATGAGCTTATTGCTACTGATCAGCTTAAGACACCTGAAGCTGTGCAGGCAGCTGGTCTGTGTAAGCCCAAGCCCAGTGGGCTGCATGCCCTGATGGGTTGGCTCTGGCCCGTGGGCTGGCACCCTGGGTCACTGGGCTGGCACCCTGGGTCACTGGGCTGGCACCCCAGGTAGCTGGGCTGGCAACCTGCACTTCTGGGTTGTAATGGGGAGCAGGACTAACCCTGGGCTGCCAGCTCTTCCCAAAAGGAGGGAGACTGGCTCTCAGTCCCTGTTTCTGGTTATTTCTGGGAATGGACAGACTAATTAGATTGTGCAATTAATCAGATTTCATGTGACAGAAAAAGCCAAATGGAGGTGCAGCACAAAAGCCACATGGCTGGATGACAAATCCTCCTCATTTTGGAGTGCTGTGTACCACCTCCATCACTCAGCCACCTCAGGACAGCTACTGGGGAACCCTCCTGGGACCAGTCCTCCAGCTCAGGGGCTGTTGGAGGTAATTGCAGCCATCAGCCCAACAATTGCAATTGCTGCAGTGATTCACCCCAACTAACTTCAACCCTAAATTAAGAAATAATTATCAAAACCAAATCAACTCCTCCAGAAGGTGAGTCAGCTCAGAGGGGAGGATCAGCTGCCAGGTATTCATTCCCCCAGTGTGCATCCTACCCCTCTTCTTACCAGGAATATTCCCTGTTACCAGTGATCCAGGGAAACCAAGGGCTTCCTCAGAAGGCAGCCTAACAATTGCCCCTGTCTCAGGGTTTGTCCAGAATTGTCCTTGGTGTCCAGAGGTAATGAGAGACCAAAGGACCTCAAGCACTGAAGCTCTAATCACAAAACTGCAAACTTTCAAAAAAACTCTGAGAGTCGTCAGTAACTAAAATGAACTGCAGAATCATATGGGATCTTTCTGAAATATAAATATTACCACAAAAGTCATTTTGGACAGTGCCATGTATATTTATGGAGCCACATAGTAATATTTAAATAATAACCCAGACATTCAAATGACTAAAATACGATGGCAGTGACCCCAGTATAAGAACATGGAGAGACAGATTTCCATTTGAACTGACAGTGTTTACGCCAAGTTTCTGTCCCACGCGTTTTAAGAGAGCCAGGCAATAAATAACCTGAAAACCAATGAGATAATGGAAATGTCAAGAGGTGCTAAGCTGTAACTGAGCAGCTATTTTCTTTTAAAAATACTTTCTGGTCTGAGTCAAAAGGAAGAATGAAAATAAGTTAAACTGCAAAACTATTTTCTGATGGACATTTATACTAATTTTTTAACCCAAGCTACAGGATATCTTACGTTTTCAGAGGATCTTTCTTCACTCAAACAAGCATTTACTCACAAGATCTCTGGCACATGAGAGGTACTTCAGCTCTAAGTCCAATAGACCATCAACGGGAATAAAGCATCACCTTTCTTTCAAACCAAATGGATAATTTAGACATTCAAGCATGAAGGAGCTTTGAATCAAACACGGTGTCAATAGCACGATTATAATTCAATCTAAAATTGCAGCATAATCCATGAGGTTTTGCATCCTACAATAAATCTACTAAGCTTATAAAATACATAGCAGGAGACACTTGGTTCAACAGTAGATTGGTTCAATCCATCACATACGCAGGCACATCAGACTGCTGTCTAGTAAATGCTTCAAACATTTAATAAGAAAGTTTGGGAAGGAAAAAAATCAAACAAAACATTTTGAAAGTAGTAAAAGATACTCCCTTTATACACTGTAAAACTTTCTAGGCTTTAACTCCTGCAGCCCCTCAGCAGAGTGGTGATCTCTTATTGCTCAGAGACAGAAACGGCAGTGAAGGAAACAAAGAGTTGCGTTACCTGTCTAGGGCCAAGGAGTACTTCTTGGTGTCCCTCTCGCTCACAAGACAAGCTCTTTCAAGACCCTTTTTGGTAGCCATAAGGAAAGTCGATGGGGTTTTGCTTGGTTTTGTTTTCCCCCTTAAACTCTATTGTCTCTGTCGGAAGAAGATATGGGCAGAAATGTCCTCTTGACTTATGCAGAAGTCTCTGCCAAATAGTTTTAAATGAAAATGTTTTAATAATCTTCTCAATAATCCCACTGCGAGAGAAAGCTGCTTTCCTAGTCCCGATGGCGTCACTACCATAACAGCCAGTAACTTGCTGAGCACAGCAGATTGGATGTTTCGGGCCTCACTCCTTGTTTTTCTTTTTTCCCCTCCATGTTTGATGCTGGATATGCTCTTTGGTCACGCGCTGGGTGCGTGCTCTTGCAGTCATGGGCTGGGGGTCAAGCACAGCGCGCACACATCAAAGTCCTCACACGCGCTCGTATGGACGTACAGAAAGGGAGAAGGAAGGTGATTAAAACAGCCCATTTGCCTGGAAACAGTCAAACCCCTGTTTGCCTTTCTGCTTCCTTGGCTTGTGAGGAAAGCAAACCTCCATCACTCCGGCTTTGTGCAAGCCTTTTAACGTAAGCAGTTGCTCTGAAGACTGATTTCTACCCCTGTCATATTTGCTCCTAATGGTTTGAAACAGAAGAGACTGCTTACTATTGCCATTTGCAACACAGGTTATTGAAATCTTTATTTCAGCAGGAAGCCTGCAGGTTGTTATTTCTGCTTTATTCAGTTTGTTAGTTCTGTCAACAGCCACAGTCCCTGGAGGGGAGAAGACCTCCAGCCTCACCTTTCTCACAGCCTGACCTCAGACATTCACTTCAGCACTAATGGGAAATTTTGCACCGGTGCTGTCTGTGTTTTACTATATTCTCAGCAGAAACAGACTGTGATTGAGATCCCTACCTGTGCACAGCCTTCACAGAAGAGATTAGCACTAGGCAGTGAGCAAATGCTGGGGACCGTGCTTAAATTCTGCAGTCTTTTTTACCATGGGTAGCCTAATGTGGATATGATGAGCTGGGATCTCCCCTCCCTTCCCCCAGTTTGCAGAACACATACTCTCTCTGAGATTCATGAGGGTGGGGGGCTCATTTGTACATGATATAAATGCAAAAGGTGGGTTTATGTCATCAGAGATCCACATGGCACATTTGTACATGATATAAATGCAAAAGGTGGGTTTATGTCATCAGAGATCCACATGTTGCCTCCTGCATATCAGCTGTGCAAACATTTCCCTGGAACCTGTGAGCCAAGTAGCTGACTGTATCTCGGGTGCTTTTATGAACAGCCACAGCAGAAATACATGGATTTTTTCCACAATGTGCTATCATCTTTGCCTCTCTAATGCTCTTTCCTTGAGAGCCTTTTCCCAGGTGCTTATACTCACCTCTGCACCCTTATTAGTCTCTTTGGTGGAAGAGATCGATTTTATGACTCATGTCTGGAACTTCCTAACACCTTCTGAACATTAGAAGGTTGGTCTTTAATGTTTTTTAAAGTTGCTGCCACTTAAAGTTGCTGGACGTGACAATGTGTAATGCTGGCAAGGCTGGTTTGAGAAGAAACTCGCATCGAAGGGTGAATAGTGTGGACTCAGGGCATTTGCAGAAATCTTACAAAACAGAAGTACCACACTTCTTACCACCTCAGAAAGGCCATTAAGTAGAAATTTTATTCTGCTGCCAAGAGGGAGTAAAGCAGGAAAAAGAAGATAGCCTTTCCAGCTGTGCACCCTGGAACCTGACAAAGGCTTATAATTCATGCTCAACAAGGGCTTCTGCTGGCTCATCTTCCCATCAATGTTAGTGTTATTACAGTGTCTCTCTGAGCTTCTGAACTCATCTTTCCTTTAGAAATTACCAAACAGCAACATCCTGTCACAGACTGGAGATGCCTGAAAAATAAACCTGGCCTAGGACCTGATTTACAGTGGATCTCAGCCTTTCTAAGGTGCTAAGCTGAAGTATCAGGTCTAAGTACCCTCAATTTAAGGGAAATTTAAAATCCACCTCAGAAGGTTGCCGATAAAGCCATTTTCTGTTTCAAATCACTGTAACCATGTAACTTTTGTTAGTGAGATGAGTTTCCATCATTTTGTAAAAGGGTCTTGAGCCTCAGGTGCATACCAGCAAAACAAAGCCATAGATCATTCACGGCATTTAATCTAGACTTCTGTTTTGTGTTTATTATTGTCAGTGCTGATGGTTGTGCTTCTCAGGAGACAGGCTGTGAGGCAGGATAGAAAGAAATCTCTTCAGAGCTTTCCACAAAGACTTGGGTTTCCTCTTTATACAGTCTCTGAAACTCATTAAGAGAGAGACAGCAGCTGTCTGTGGAATTTCTGTTTCAGAAAAATTATTCAGACCATCTCAATAAATTCATCTTAGCCTTTCAATAATAAAGCAGTTTGTTTCTGAGTCTACATTAAAAATGTCACATATCCAATCATACCAGTTCTAATAACCCTAGTCAAGGACATTTCTCAAGATTTACATCCAATACAGACATGTGAGGCATCACACTGGCTTTTGCAAATGAAAGCTTCTCATCATTATTATCCAAAATCTCCATTAGTTAAAAAAAGCATATCCTTGATCCCATTTTAACTTTAATCAGCAGCACTTTAAATATGGGGAAAAAAAAAACATCCCCTCTATCTTGTCATTATGGGAGTAGATACTGACAGTTTAAATGTACAGAGGAAAAGTTGGTGCATCTATTAATTGAAAATGCCAGTGAAGTCGATCATTTTTATGAGCCATGAGACATCTTAGAGATCATCTGCAAAGTTCCTCTCTACCTTTCTCTGGCATCAGCTCTAGTAGCTCTATACTGTATTGCCTGTAACCCAGGGATCCTGGCATTTGTGATTTCTGGGGCTTGGTTATTACAGTTTTTATATTCATAGTGAGAATATGCTTTTTCACCTAGTGAAGCTCCAGTGCCTTCCAGCCATCTGTCATTTTGTGATCCAAGGCTGGAGGCAAGACAAATTGAAAGAAAAACCACGTTCCTCTTCTTGTGAACCTATGAATAGAGTAACCTTTTATAAGTGAGTGTCAAAAGGAAAATATCTACCCTGATTTAGATCCAATTTAAAAATCATTAAAAACTTGTTAATGTTAAATATTTTAAAATAATAAATTTTTAAACTTCAATATATTTATCTTGGGTTTGCTGCCAGCATTTCAAAAGAATGGAAACTTTCGATAGTAACTGAACTGAGAGGTAGAAGTCATCTGCAATGTTTTAGATGGGATTTGAAATTGCACAAAGTCATTGGGGAGAAAAAGACTTTTCAGCCACTTGTCAAAGAAATTCAAGTTTGCATTGGGAGTGGGGATCTAGCAGGAGCACAGTATGACACTATTTTGTGGTGTACACCTGTACCTCCAACAGTAAAAGTCTATGCTGCTACCAAATGAAGTGGGAATCCTTCTACAGAGCCTGGAACTTCAGGTCAGGAGTATCAGGCATCTATTCCCCACACAGCAAAGTGTCCAAGTTCAGAGTTTCCCCTGGTGAAACCAATAGTATGAGACAGCCCCTCCCTAGACAGGCATCTCTGGAGGAGCTCAAGACCCTGCTTTGGATAGTGAGAGAGCCCAGGGTGCCCAGGCTGGGCAGGGAGCACAGTGGTAAATACATGAGGAAATATGGATGAATCTAGACCCCAGAGTGGGAATCCTGAAGAACACCACAGACATGAGGCTTGCACAGCTATGAACTTCCCATGGTTTGTGCCAGGCCTCTTGAAGGTTTTCTTTCCAAACTGTGATATGAATATGGATCTATTCTGTATGGTAGCAGGAAATAAACAAAAAAAGGTAAGGTTTAGCATTTTTTGTCCTTTTCATCTTATTTATTCAAACTTTTATTTTGATCTCATTTTGCTAGCACCAACACTTCAGAAGTGTTCTGAATTATCTTCCCAGTGTTTCATCTCTCATGGTTGAATCCACATCGTACAAATAACCCAGCTCTCATTAAGTTCCTTGGAGATATCAGACCTTCAGAAGTAAGTAGTGCCAAGAAATGTTATTTTGATACAAAGCTGCTTTGCTTTTCTGAGAGTCTGGCAAGCTACTTTGGCGTCTGAGTGTCCCAAAAGTCCTGTTCAGGAGTAGCACAGCCTACCCTTAGAAGAAGTTTTTAATTCTAGGCTGTAGCTTAAAAGAAAAAGAAAGTGCAGTTGAAAAACAAATGCTAATGTCATCTCAAATGTTATTGTCAAAGAGTGTGTCAGCTTTTGTTATAAAAATATATTATCTTTCTTGGAGCATTTAGTGGTTTTCTGTCTGTTTTCCATTGCAATTGCAAAGGGCTTCTGCTTGGTTTTGTTTTTATGATGTCTGAAGTTGGTTGGGGAATTAAGCCTGTAATTGCATTGCTAACAAGTATTTCTTAGACACATTTATTTTTCCTTGGGGAAAGAGACTGTTAGGAAGAGAGTACACATATTTTGGCAGCAAAAGAGACAGCTATGACATTTGGCTCCTAAGTTACTACCTGGATATCATTTTAATTGGGTTTTTTTACTAATAAAATATAGTAACTTTACTGCATTAGTTCCTTTATTACACTTCCAACATATATTTTGTTGTCATGCTCTTCCTAAGCATATTTGGATCATGAAGATGCATTACAATATACATTGAGAGCCAGTTTGTTAAAGACACAAGGAGTTCTGCATTATTTTTCACTGGTGCAAAACTAATTGGTTTTTCTCAGCTACTGCATATATATTTATTTTCCATTTTATCATCTCTATAATTGCAGTTTGAATTAGGAAAAGGACAGAGTGACCTGGTAAAAGCATTTGCAGGGACAATCTGTGTAAAGGCTTCCCAGCAACCAGGATTTCTCAAGCCTGTTGAATTGCAGTGAGTGTTGAAACAGTCCTCAGGTCCTTCTTGCCTGGGCCATGCAGGCACTGGCCATTGCTCAAGCACTTTTTCTTTCCTGCATGAATTCCAAAATTTTCTTTTCAATAATGGGCAATACGACTGGAAGGAAGGAAACCAGGGCTCACA